CCAGCGACAGGTCGAGGCAAGGGTCCTACGAGTAAGGTCTGCTCGTTTCACACTCATCGGGGATCAGCTGTACAGGAGAGGATTCAGTGCCCCACTCCTCCGATGTGTGACCAGCGAAGAAGAGACTACATCATGAGGGAAATTCACGAGGGGATCTGCGGTAACCACACAGCAGCTTGGTCTCTGGCGAACAAGATTGTTCGCCAGGGATACTTCTGGCCCCGAATCCAAGAAGATGCGAACACTTCGTCAAGAATGCGACAAATGCCAACGGTTCGCGAACATTCCGCGAGCCCCTTCTCACGAGCTAATCACTATGTCTAGCCCCTGGCCGTTTTCCATGTGGGGAATCGACCTCAGCCCCATGCCGGTTGGAAAGGGAGGGGTCAAGTATGCCGTGGTCGCGGTAGACTACTTCACAAAATGGGTCGAAGCCGAGCCGCTAGCCGCGATCACGACCAGAAAGCTGAAGGACTTCGTTTTCAAGAATATAGTGTGCCGCTAGGATTCCTCACACCCTCATCTCAGATAATGGAAAGCATTCGACAATGAGGAGTTCAGGCAGTTCTGCGACGAGCTGGGCATCCATAAAAAATTTGCCTCAGTCGCCAGACCCCAGGCGAGGCCAGTCGAAGCAGTCAACAAGACCATCAAGCACACTGAAAGCCAAGCTCGGGGCAGCCAAAGGAAATTGGGCTGACGACCTCCCCGAAGTCTTGGGCGTACAGGACAACTCCAAGGACCTCCACCTCGGAAACTCCATTTTCGCTAGCTTATAGCTGTGAAGCAATGATCCCTGTAGAGGTCGGAACCGGGTCTCTTCGGGGGACTTGTACATGAGAACGAAAACGAAGCACTAATGAGAGCAAGTTTGGATCTGGTCGAAGAGCACCGCAACAAGGCCTCACTAAGGATAGCGGCCTACCAACAGCGAGCAAAAAGATTCTTCGACTCAAAGGTCAAACGAAGAGCCTCCAGGTCGGAGACCTTGTCTAAAGGAGGTTCTCCTGGGACCAGAAGAACCGAGTGCGGGGTACTAGGACCTAACTGGGAAGGTCCATAGGGTCGACAAAGTAATCAGACCGGGGACCTACCATCTCAAAAGGTTGAACGGTTCCAAAGTACCCCGAGCTTGGAATGCCGAGCACCTCCGGCCGTACTATCAGTAATCCTGAACTCAACTCTCACTATTTTGTAAATTTCCTTTAAGTATTACCTTGTTCGCTTAAAACAGTTCGTATGTGTTCTGTTCGCATTTGTAGACAATTATGTAAATTGCAAATTGTAAATTGTACACACATATATGAAAAGAGCACTGCGAATTGAAAAGATAATTTCATTTACAAGAAAATTCCAAAACCCGATTACAACAAAGACAGTTCATTACGCCTAAGGTGGTGGGGAGATCCTTCGAGCCAGAGCCACCCGCCGATCAGGTCCCTGGGCGGCCGCGGCAGCCTGGTCGTCCTCTTTGGCATAATCCCAAGGTCGCTGCCACCCTCCGGGAGGGCGGACATGTCCAAATCCGGGTTCCTTGCTCGCAGGGTGTAGATACACCCAATCGCCCAGTCCGCGGCCTTCTCCTCCAGCTCCTCCGACTGATTCTGCATTTCATCAGTCAGAGAAGCGACCCTCGCTTGACTTCCTGGAGCTCGGCCTAAGAGGCTAGTCTTTCCTGCTCGGAGACCTGTCTATCCTCTTAGCTCGTTGAGCCCGTGAAAGGTCGCCTGAAGCTCCTGGTCCTTTTCTCCGACTTCTCTAGAGAGCTGGCGGTCGTCCTTTGGAGTTCTCTGACTTCCTCAGCAAGCCGATCGAGCTCTGCCCTCTGGAAGTCCACTGTTCGCTGAGCAGCGTCCTTTGGTTCAGGTACCTATTCGCTGCTTCGAACGCTTGGGTTCTTTCCGCTTCAACGGACTCCAAGTTCTGCTTCAGTTTCGCGACCTCCGCCTCCAGGTCGCTCGTTCCCTTTGCGGCCCCAGCCGCGTCTTCTCCATGGACATCCTCATCGCAAGCAACCCCTGCGAGCAGTATACGAGTTAGAAATAAAATCAAATGGGAATTCAAGGTACAGCTGGTTTACCTTGCTCAGATGCTGAACGAGGTGGCCATCAGGTCGTCCCCCGTGTCTGCAAATTCGCTGTACGACTCCGATAGCTCGCTCTCGAGCAAGCCATATACAATTGGCTGCAGGTACTCGGGCAGACTCCCCAGCGAGTCCAGAAAAGCGCGTCCTTCGCCTTGTCGCCAGTCACCGCCCCGCTCGCGGGTTCCTTTCCGACTCCCTGGATTCTGGCGCACTGGGGGCTCCTCCTCGGATTCGGTCTCAGATTCTTCGACCTGGACCTGTTTCCTCTTCTTGGACCTTTGGGCGGAGCCTTCCGCCTGGGGCGAGCAGGAGGTGCTGGAGCGACCTGTTCTGTTCTGGTCGCTCTTGTGCAGGACGAGGCTGTGAAGGCGCAGAAGTTCGCAGCGGTTGTGCGGGAATGACGAGCAGCTTCGGCCTCCCTCTTCCCTCTCCCTCCCTCCTTGATCGAGGGAAAACAAATGGCGCTCGGCGGACTGCCCGGACTCCTTTGGGGGCATGGTCTCTGCATTTAAACTTGTCAGTAAGGGAATTTATATCACGACCAGAAAGCTACCAGCATAACTTACCGTCCAAGGGTTCTAACGATGCCTTGTCGGTGAAAAAACCGTACTTCCGCAGGTTCGCGGTTGTCACAAGCTTCCTCGCGTCCCGCTGTTCCTCGTCTAGTACCCCGAAAGTACGAGCCTGTTCGGGTCGGCGAGTAATTCTTGGTTGGTCGTTCTATTAACTGCATAAGAAAACAGGTCGTTAGCTAACGATCGTGCGAGCAGATAACAAATCCAGCAAAAGAAAACCTACTTGGATCCTGGAAGTGGCGGTGACCGTTATAAACGAAAAAGAAAAACTTTGTCTCGTAGGCCCCCGCATTGCTGGGATAGCTGTGTATCCCGCAGCAATGGTAGGTCACCGAGACAAATAGTAAGAATCCTTGTCCCTACTTTCTTCAGGTAGTAGGCGACACCGAGCTCCACCGCGACGGCTCCCCCAAGCTGTTCTCGCAGCACGCAATGTACATCGCGACGGCGATGACATACGCGTTTGGCGTCAGCTGCATTGGTGCGATCCGAAATGATCCAGGACCGACCTGATGAAAGGATGGAAGGGAATCCTCCCTCACCCTTGAAGATCTCCTCAGAGATCGCGGCAAGGCCGTCGGTGGGCGCCGTGACGGCCTAGTGTGGTCGAGGAACACCTCCTTACGGATATCGAACTGCCGCTTTATTCTAGCATATTCCTCGGAGGTAAGGACCGAATAGACGTCGAGAGCTGCGTCCTCGGAGCTCCCCGCAGGACGAGCTGGCTCCTCCCTCGGTCCTGGATGTTGACAGTTCCATTCCAGTCTGCAACATCGACAGACACGGTCATTTGGGCCTTCGTGTTTGTCCCGTACGGCAGCAAGGGACAAATACTTAAAACCTAGTGGTGATTCAAGCCGCCATCCAGGCTCGGATCCATAACGGCGTCGCGACTCCGGTGAAACACCGGAAGACCCAACGCCGTGGTTCAACCAAACCAATCCAAAAAAAAAAAGAGAGAGAAAGAAGAGAGATAACCTTACTCTGTGGTATATGGAGCTAGGGCTGAGACTCGTTCCGGTTGCCTGAAAAGCGTCGATCGGGAGAAAATGATTCTTGGTTTGCCAAAGTTTGTCACTCGAAGCGAAGAAATTTCGGTGACCTCATCTGAAAAATACAAAGTTTTTATATGGATAGCGAAACGACGTTCACCCTCGGAGACGAAACGGCAGTCTCCTCTCCCTCCGCATTAAATGCGCCCCCACGTCGCATTAAATGCCGTAAAAAGGGGCGCCATTTCAAACCCACGTCGCATTAAATGCAGTGATAAGGGCTGTCGGTTTCAAACGCGTTAAACGGTCAAAACTGTAAAAACGGCGTCGGGTCATCATACCGCGCATTTAATGTGTCTGACAAGCGCTGTGACGCATGCAGGGCGCCTGACAGCGCAGGGACAGATTCATTGAACCACTAAGGTGCAGAAAGGAGCGTCCGTCAAGTCCAGGTCGCTGGGATAAAGATTGTCAGGTTGCTTAGGCAAGGGATCGCGCGAGATCGTGTTCGCTGCGAGTCTTGAGGCGAGCTCACCCCATCCAGGTCGGAGCGATCAAAGTCTCCAGTGTGACTTAGTTTCCAAGGCTCGTTCCTCGAACCTTAAAAACTAGGGGGCTTCTGTTATACCCGGGAAAACAAAAGGCTGACGTGGGAAGAGTCACGTTACGGGTGACCTGCTCCCGTCAGGGCAGCATGCACACGTCAGACCTGCAAAGTAATGTGGGGCTCACACGCGTCCATTCCTCTGCAGCAAGTCGTGCGAAATCAGCTTGGAAAAAGGAAAATGGGACGTAAAGCCGGATTACATCCTGACAATCACACCAACCCATGGATTTAATGATGATTACACGCCTCAATTTGTTATAAAATGAAGAAGACCCCTCCATTAAGGGGATTCGGCCATTCTTTACAAAAAAAAAATAACTCTCTCTCTTGTAAAAGAAAACACTTACTTTTCATAACTTTTTGTACGTCAGTCCGCTTCGCGACCTGACCCACACTAAAATCAATACAACTCAGTGGACGTAGGACTTGCTACCTTAGCATCCGAACCACTTTAAAAATTTTTCCTGTATTTATTTCATTTCATATATCCATTATCACGTGCATTAATTCATCAAATAGCAAAACCCACGTGACAATTGGTTGGTGCCGAAATCGGAGCATCAACATTTATCAATTAATTATCACCTATTGGTAGGCTTGAATAGTAAATAACTCTCAAAGAAGTTAGTTAAGTCAACAACTGGACCACTGGTGGCTTGGATCTGGACCCGTCGGGACCCTGTAGCCGTCCTACAAGTTTGACTTGTTTAATCATGATCCACAAAATTCCACCACTAAAGAATGCGTGCTGTCTTTACACGCAGAAGCCCACTTTCCACACACCCTCAACAATTCTCCCATCTTCATTTGGTCTCCGTCAAAAACACTAGTCATGTCCACACACGACGGCGCCAGAGCCCATATTCTCGTCTTTCCTTACCCAGCTCAAGGCCACGTGCTTCCGTTGCTCGATCTCACCCACCAATTGGCTCTCTCTAATCTGTCCATCACCATCGTCATCACACCCAAAAACCTACATACTCTCACTCCCCTTCTCAGTGTTCACCCCGATATTCAAACCTTGGTCCTCCCGTTCCCATCTCATCCCTCCATTCCCGACGGTGTTGAAAACGTTAAAGACTTGGGCAACGCCGGTAACATCTCCATTATTAATGCTTTAGGCAAGCTCTTTGACCCAATTACTCACTGGTTTCATTCCCACCCCAACCCTCCAGTTGCGATTCTTTCGGATTTCTTCCTGGGATGGACTGTACGCCTTGCGCATCACCTCAACATTGTCAGAATCGCTTTTTTCTCTTCTGGTTCGTTTTTAGTTGCGGTTTCTGAATATCTTTGGAATCATTTAGATGAAATCAAGTCAGGGACTGCTATTCAGCTTCATAAATTGCCAGGATCTCCGATTTTTAAGGAAGAGCATCTGCCTACCCTAGTTCGACTGTATAAGAGGGATGATCCACAATGGGAGTTTGTGAAAGAGGTATATGTTGCAAATTTTTTGAGTTGGGGTTGCGTTTTCAATTCTTCCGAGGCATTGGAAGGTGTGTATTTGGATTATTTGAAGACAGCAATGGGTCATAACCGTGTTTTCGGGGTTGGACCATTGAGTTTGGTGGGTCCTAATTTAACTCGTGGTAATAACCCAGATTCGGACCCGAATGCCAATATCTTCAAGTGGCTGAACGAATGTCTGGATGGATCTGTTCTTTACGTCTGCTTTGGGAGTCAAAAGGCGTTGAACAAAGAACAAACAGAGGCTTTGGCAATAGGACTCGAGAGAAGCGGGACCCGATTTTTGTGGGCGGTTAAAACGGGTTTTTGCGGGCAGGCAGATAGTAAAAACGGGTTAATACCGGATGGGTTTGAGGAACGGGTCGCATGTCGAGGGTTGATATTGAAAGGTTGGGTTCCCCAAGTGGCAATATTAAATCACAAAGCAGTGGGTGGATTTTTAAGTCATTGTGGGTGGAACTCTACTTTGGAAGCAATCGTGGGCGGGGTGATGATATTGGCTTGGCCAATGGAGGCTGATCAATTTGTTAATGCAAAGCTCTTGGTTGATGACATGGGTGTGGCGGTTAGGGTGTGTGAGGGTGCTGAGTCGGTGCCTGACTCGGCCGAGTTAGGGAGGATTATTTCGGAGTCATTCAGTGAATGTGCAGAAATGAAGATTAAAGCGAAGGAGTCGAAAGAGAAGGCTTTAGCAGCGGTGAAGAGCGGTGGGAGCTCAAATCGGGAATTGGATAAACTTGTGCAAGAACTGAGAAGACTTCATCATGTCAAATGAAGTGTAGTTGTGTTGTGAAAGAGAATAACATCTGCAAAACTATTATTATAGTCTCTTTTAAGAATTTATTATATTATATGAAGAGCCAGTGGAACTTTTCCATGTTGAATCTCAACAACCATGAATGAGAATGGGTAGTTGAAAGTATTAAAATAATTTTTTTTTTTGGTAATTTTATAATAAATAAAGAATAGAACTAAGATGGGGGAACCCTACACAATGCAACTCTTTACATCAGCAAAATTGGCTACGTGATGTTAATAATCTCCCCTTAGTTGTTCCACAAAATTACTGAATTTAGTGTTTTAAAAACGTGTTAAATTTATGAAAATACTGATATATATTTATATAGATTACTAAAGCTCATTCTTGTTATTAATCGTCATGTGGATTCCGCGTACGATGCCATATAAGATCTTGGGAGTTCTATTAATATATAATTGTTATGAAAGATTTCAGCTATAGAATTGCTATTTATTAGTATTAATAACATATGTTGGGCATCCAAATGTCTAATTAAAATATATATAGATTTATGTTAGTCCTTTCACAATTACCTAAATATTTATAACAATTAAATAGTGACATCCCAAAAGTCTAAAGAAAACTTTGTTTATATGCGCAGATTCATATTTGTCCTTCTCTCGGTCAAAGCATTGCTAAATATTGTTAGTTTTAATCTTCTTGATGACTTCTATGTAGGTATCAAGTACGACATAGCCTCATGCCCTCATCCATGTTAGTTGTAGAATACTACCTTTTGAAACGTTTTCATGTACCTTACAAAAAGCGACCCACTGGCACCCAAATTGCACAATTATTTGTCCTTATGTAATTTCTAAACATCGGAAAAACAAATTTCCAAAGAAATGCATATAGATGTTGGATCTATGGTTTATCTAATTTCAATTGATTTTTAGCTCTCTACTTTGTTGCTGTGGCTACTGTTGCTGCTTTAATTGGGTAGCATATTGTGAGAAAACTGATTATTTTATTGGGAAGGGCATCGCTTATCATCTTCATTTTAGCCTTTATCATATTTGTTAGTGCAGTATCTTTAGGTTGGTGCTAATCTCCATTTTGCCTAGCTTGATAATATCATTTTTCATTCAGATATCATTTTACTTGGACAAAATCTGAAACTGATCTTTTCATTTGTTAATAGGTGGGGTTGGCATATCCAACATGATCGAGAAGATTGAAGAGCGTGACTACATGGGATTTCAGAACCTTTGCAATATCCTTCTTATGAGTTAAGACTTCAGTTCACTTTGCTCAAAGACATCCTTATCTATGGCTGTAGATTGTCATCATCGTCTTTCCAGCAATCTTCAAACTAACAATAGTGGCCATTTTTTTAATAGAAAGGGATTTGTGATGTGGGTTGATTTTATGAATGGAAAATATAAAGAGCTGTGAACAATCTTTTCATGGAAGCTTTTGGAATGATACTTTGGACAAGGGATTCCAACTTTATTACCATGCATTCCCCTTATGACTTTTTTTTTTTATGGGAATAACTTTTGATGCGTGGTTCCAATTTCAAGTTCCACATCATGAATATAAGAGAAAAATCTTCTTTGACAAGAAATTTTTCACAATTTAATCCATAGCAATGCAAACGGGACAAGTACAATGAATGGTCAATTTGGCCCCTGAAATTAGGGTACCAAAACTCATTTGGCATGAGTTAATACTTCAATTCATTTCATGCATGTATAACCTTTCACGAATAATATAAATGCCCTCACATTCAGATAGACAAAAGCAATACAACCATCAAAAACAATTACTGTGAATATGAATGTCAAGGGTTTCTATTAGGGGTGTTTAGAAAAATGTAAAAACCGAACCAAACCGATAATCGAACCGAAAAATCGGTTAATTGAAAAAACAGTTTGGTTACGGTTACCGGTTCGGAAAAAAATAAAAAACGGTTAACCGAAACCGGTTTTACAAATATATATTAAATAAAAAAATAATTTCATTTTGGACTTTTATTTGTATCAATTTTTAATGTATTGTTAGTAGTGGTCAATGAATATGTATGAATGTTTAATTTTTATTTAGATATGTATTGTTTATATTTACAATTTAATTTAGGAAAAAATTTAAAAAAAATTAATAAAAAAAAAGGAAAACCGATTAACTGAAAAACCAGTTTTCCCTCTAAATCGGTTCGGGAATTTTTCCAAACCAAAAAACCGGTTCGGTTCAAAAAAACGATTAACCGGTTCGGTTAACCGCTTTTGAACACCCCTAGTTTCTACAATACATTGAATGCATGTGAAGTATTACTATTTAATATTTATGGGATTAAACAATATAACCAAAAAACATTTAATTTGAATATGAATGTCAAAGGTTTCTATAGAAGAAAACAATAAACAAACAGATAACTATTTCAGCATTTAATGTGAATGTGAAAGATTTCGACAAAATATTGAATGTGAATGTGAACGATTTCTACAAACCAAATAGGCCATACCAATAACTCACAAACACATGCATTTACAAACCACTAAAACTTTACAATAAAACTATTTACAAACTGTTTCAAAAACAACCACTAAACATACCCGCACAACGTACAAGCCTTCCATCTAGTTTATAATAAAGTGATGCAATTATCCCTCACCTTTTATCTTAGTTAACCCCAATTATTACTTACTTCTTAATTACAATTTTATCCCCTATAAAATTATTAAATAAGATTCAAAAGTTATTAAAAAGATAAAATATAAGTTTCAAACACACAACTTAATTTTTTTTAATCAGTATAACACAATTGTGGCATGAAGTCTTTCTATTAAAAAAAAAAAAAGTTTTCTCTCGTTTTGGGCATGCAAAAAACAAGGTAGTTGAGAATTATAGACATAGAATGTGTGGCTCACAGTTCATGTGGGTAAGGGGTAATTGAGCTGAGCCGAGCCAAGTATTGATAAGCTTGAGCTTGGTTTGATTGAAACAATTGGACTCAAGCTCGGTAGATATATGGTAGGCTCGAGCTCATTTTATGTGGGTGATAGAATTGATGGTTTTCGATTTTATATTAATATATATGATATCAATATAAAATTAAAATAGTCAATCTCGACTAAGCTCGCGTGCTAATCGAACTGAATATTGAGAAGCTCGAACTTAACTTGACTCGGCATGCGAACTACTCGAGCCGAGCCCGAGTAGCTTGGCTCGTCTAACACCCCTATTGTAGTATGAAATTAAAATTTATGTAGTTAAAATATTAAATATATCCCAAAAATAATAATGGAAATAAACATGTATTAGACTCATGAATTAGATTTTATGTGAAATTAAAAAAGTTATGAATTGAAACAAAACAAGTTATAGTTAAAAACTCACCTAATGTTTGATTAGTTGATAGAAAATTTTGAGTAATCCGATACTTATAAGACTAAATAGATAATAATAATAATGAGTATAAGAAAAGTAGTTTCTGTCATTATTAATTAATGATAAAAATAATATAATCTTATAGTAATTTCCTTAAAGTTTTTCATTAAAAGTTCAAAATCAAAATATAAATTAGATGGGGTCTTAATATTAACAAGTCAAAATAGAAATTTAAAAAATTCTTTTACAATTAATATCAATAGGTCGTTGTAGTATAGTGGTGAGTATTCCCGCCTGTCACGCGGGTGACCCGGGTTCGATCCCCGGCAACGGCGAATATTTTTTGACTTTTCTTCTTTTCAATTTTTCTAGTTTCATTCAATATTTTTTTTTTTCGCTTTCAATTCTTTCTCAAATTTTGCTTCTCTTTCAATTTTTTTACCAAATTTTTGTTTTCCTATAATTCTAGTTTTATGTAGCTAATAATTCAATATACTTGTTTTAACATTTTTTGTTTTTCTTTCTCTTAAATTTCACAATTTTTGTTTTATCTCTACTTCTAGTTTTATGTAACTATTAATTTAATTTCATAAATCTAAAACTAACTCTAATCATTCAATTCCAGAAATCTAAAACTAACCTGGAAATGTGTTTATTTTTACTTTCTTTTTTGATCCATTTAATCGTTAAAAAAACTGTCTATTGTAATGCTTCAAAAATTATAATTAAATATTTAACATTAATAATAAACTATGATCTTGAAATCAAAGACATTATTACTTATGATTCATGAAATTGTAATTAAACCTCATTTATCTTGAAGATTTTTCAGTTCTTGCACAAGTCTTTCCAAATCCTTTGCCGAGCTCCCACCGCTTTTCACAGCTGCCAAAGCTTTCTCCTTCAACTCCTTGGCTCTAACCTTAACTTCACCACACTGATTCATCGCCTGAGAAATCACTCTCCCCAACTCGATTGAGTCAGGCACCGAGTCAGCACCCTCGCACACCCTAACAGCCACGCCCATGTCCTCCACCAGCAATCTTGCATTAACAAACTGATCTGCCTCCATGGGCCAACCCAATACCATCACCCCGCTCACTATTACTTCTAATACTGAGTTCCACCCGCAATGACTCAAGAATCCGCCCACCGCTTTATGATTTAATATTGACACTTGAGGAGCCCACCCCTTCACAATCAACCCTCGACCCGTCACCCGCTCCTCAAACCCTTCGGGTATCGTCCCGTACCCCTCACCCATTTTAACGACCCATAAAAATAGGATCCCACTTTTTTCAAGCCCTAAAGCCAAAGCCTTCATTTGTTCGCTTGTTAACGGCTTTTGACTCCCGAAGCAGACGTAAAGCACTGAGCCATCCGGGCACCGGTCTAGCCACTTCAACGAATAGTCATTCGGACTCAAATTCGGGTCATTTGCAGATTTTGACCCTGTACCCAGTGAAGAAATTGGGCCAATGCCAAAAACACGACTGTGACCTATTTTTGTTTTCAAATAATCCAAATACTCGCCTTCCAGATCCTCAAAAGAATTGAATACACAACCCCAACTCAAAGTATTTTTCAACAAGCAATCTTTCACGAACTCCGAATCAGGATCCGATTCTTTATACCGTCTAAACACAGAAGGGAGTTGCTCTTGCTTAAAAATCGGAGATTTTGGCAAGCCATGCAATTCAACAACAGTGGAAGACTTGACATCATGAAAATGGTTCCAACAATAATCAAAAACCGATGGCAAAAGGGCACTGACTGAGAAAAAAGCGATTCTGATAATATTAAGGTGACGAGCGAGGTCTAAAGTCCAACCAAGAAAGAAATCAGATATGATGGCAACAGGTGGATTGGGGTGGGAGTGAAACCAGTGGATTATGGGGTCAAAAAGTTTGACCAAAGCGGACATGACAGGGAAGTTTCCAGCGTTACCGAGTTCTTTGACGTTTTCAACGCCGGGAGGGATGGAAGGGTGGGAGGGGAAGGGGAGAAGTAGGGTTTGAATACGAGGGTGAGAGTTGAGGAGAGGAGTGAGAATTGGGAGGTTTTTGGGAGTAACTAAAATGGTGATGGTGAAATTATGGAGAGATAAGTGGTGGGTGAGATCGAGGAGAGCGAGCATGTGACCTTGAGCAGGGTAAGGAAAGATTAAGAGATGAGTGGAGGTGGAGGTGTACATGGCGGCTATGAGTGGTGGTGATCAGTGTTTAGATTGAGAGTGAAGATGCATGGTTGATTGTTATAAGGAGGCGGTGAGATTGGACTGTCGTCTAGCATCACTCATTCACCTGTTATCTTTTTCAAAAGAAAAATGGATAGCGAATTCATGTTGACTCTCGATTAATTAGGAATTTTTTTTTTTTAAAAAAGAGAATGATGCCACGTGCATAATTTTGGTATACATTTTTCCATAACGATACCATTACTCATTTGGTTTACAACTTGAGATTAGATCATTGGTTTCATGGGCGGTGGAAATTCTTTATAAATGCTAGTCCCTCACTTGTATTTCAGGAGAAGAGAAAATAAGAGAAGCTCTCGCTTTAAGCTCTAATAATTCTGTTTAATTTTATTAGAGTCCCTCTTCAACTATTCTATAACAAAAGTATATATGTAAGAGTAAATTTCAAGCCCTTTTTGCTTTAGGTTTATTAATTTTTATTCTGATAATGTTTGATTTGTGATTAATTCTTGAATGAATACCAATATGTTTGTGGTTGTAAAGGATGGTGGATGATGGTTGTACTGTTTGAGAGATGGTGTTGGACTGTTGGACAGTTGGAGTGTGCTTGCATGAGGAGTGGGGCTGTTTGGGAAATGATGTTGGACTGTGCTTGGATGGGAAAAGGGTCTGTTTGGTGGACAAGATAGAGGTTGTTTGGTCCGTAGGCGGGCTAATGTTGCGGGGGGTAGGCGATCGAGGGTATTAACGTCATTTAACCATTTTCCATTAAAATTAACTGAAAAGCAATATATATATATATATACAGTAAAACCTCTCAGTCATAATGTTGAGACTAACTAATTTTATTGCTATAAAGAGGTTATAACTTAATGGAGGTATAGTTACAAAAATTATAGTTTTGATTTCTTATTTTATAATTCATGTTTTAGTAATACAGTATTAAGATTTCAATTCATATTTTAGTAATATTAGAATTTCAATACAGCGTTTCAATTGCCTACTTTTGAAACGAATAAAAGATCGTTTCTTAGAACCAATCAAAATAAGTGTCAATGATAGAACTGTAAATACAATTGATGCATGGTCAATTAATGTGAAGCCACAGACAATTGTCAATGGTTTTAAGCGTTGCAAAATAAGGATCACTAATGTCAATGAATTGTTAGTTACAAATAAAGTGAATGAAGAGAATAAAAGAGTCACTATAGAATTGAGTGATCAGATTCGACAAATTCACTATACTAATCGAATGGATATTAATGTCTTATTCGATTATCCAAATGAGAAACAAATTGTGTATACTTTAACCAAAAGAGAAATTATTGTTGCAATTAAATAAGAAGAGAAAGGAAATAATCCTAAGGATAATAGTACGGAAATACAAAAAGTCTTGTGCCATGAAGCTCTAAACATGCTTGAGAAACTAAAAATATTTTGGCTTTAACAAGAAGGTATCCATGCTAACGAGCTATTACGTACTCGTAAGGTAAAAGATGTGATAACAATTATAAAACATAAATTATTATCCGAAACAATTTTAAATAAATATTTTATTTCATTTTAAACTTTTAATTTTACATAACATATTTTTTTTAATAATATATAGACAATTATTACTATGTAGAGGCAACTTTCCTTAAGGCGGGAATTAGAAAAATTATAACTTATTACAATGTGGAGTTTATTTTTATTTATAACTATCTTAAATCGGGACTAGAATTTTTTATAACTATGTAGAGTTTATTCTTATATAGAGTATAACTATAGAGAGATTTTACTGTATTATGATGATACTTATACTTTATATTAATAAAGATATTTTCTCTAGTTATTGGTTTACTTACTAATTTTATTCACTAAGGGTTGTATTGTTACTATCATGATTTAAAGTATGTAGGAATGTGTTGTAATTGTAACATTACTCTTTAAAGTATGTATTTAAAACTCCCACTCATACAAGAATATACTTTTGAACTTATAGAAAAAAAAAATATATATATATATGCCAAGAATCTAATTCTCTCAAAAAAAAAAAAAAAATCAATATAATATATTCTAGAAAGAGAAAAAAAAAAAAAACAACAAAAGAATTAAGAATTTCGGGGCGGGGACGAGGTTTGGCTTTAATTTCAGGGAATCTCCGGCTGATCTCCGTTTATTTTAAATGGAGATTAGGCCACGGACAGGGATGGCGATCCCCAGCCCACACCCCAGCCTGTTGCCATCCGGCCCATCCCTAATGATAACACAACATTTGGGATGTAAAATTTGAGGATGAATAGTATTACTCTGATTTTTTAACTAATAAATATATCCATAACATTTTGTTATTTGCTACCGGCAAATGAAAGTTGAATTTTACTTTTATATTTATTTGAAATTAAAAGTAACATAAAATGAACTTTATTTCTCATTTATGGAATGATTTTTGAGACTTTAATTTCTTAAATGGTAAAATAACGTTTATAACTTATCATTTCATATTTTTAGAATGCAAAAAAAAAAAAAAAAAAAAAAAAAAAGACTTAATACAGCTTTAAATTTTTTTTCATCCTGGTTGTAATTTTCGTCAACTGTACATACCAAAACAGAAATATATAATGAACTACATTCTTTGTAGAACAATTCACATTACTACTGTCAATCTTTATTTCAGCATGCTGTATAAGTAATACAGTTTTATATTTAGATTATTGATTCATCAATCATCAGCATAGCTCAAACTTAGGGGTGCATACGAGCGAGCCGAGTAATGGCTGGCTCAAGCTCAGCTTGAAACAGTTAAGTAGTGGCTCGAGCTCGGCTCGAATTAGTTAAGCAGTGGCTCGAGCTCAAGCTCGGCTTGATAAGGAAAAGTTAGCTCGAGCTCGAGCAAGCTTGGCTTGATAGAAAAAAGCTTAGCTCGAGCTTGGCTCGGCTTGACTAGAGTTAAGTACGAGCCAAGCTCGGTTTAACCTGCAACTGCAAAAACCAATGTAAACTGCTTCTGTCTTCTGCTGTTCACTCAGGCAAAAACTCAAACACTTAGGGTGCAAACCTTCATCCAAAAACAAGCTCTAAAATCATTCAAGCAATCCAAAACCAAGCTGTAAATCAACTTCCACAAAATCTTTTACAAACAGCCCACACCAGGAGCACAAAAGGCGAAACACTATACAAAAACCCCTAAACACCAACAAACAGAAAAACAAAACCAGCCTAGAAAACAAGCACAGGAAACAAAACCCACCAGCTCCGCACAAAACCACCAGCCCACTGAAACCCCCAGGCTCCTAAGAGGTTGACATCACATCCACACAAACCCACCAACACCGCCAAAAGCACCCAGCCTACTGTCCCTCTCCAACCACCTGCACACAAACATAGCAACAAGCAAACAAGAAGAAGCCATCTGGTGGTTGCTCAATGAAGGGTGGCGTCTCAGACTTTACGGTGTGAAGAAGTGAAGATGACGGTGGTGACGGTGGAGGGGGAGGTGAAATAGCTTGAAGGGAAATGTCTTTGTTTTAGGGATTTGCAGCCGAGTGTCTTTGTTTTAGATTTTAGGGCAAATCTGATCTTATGCGAGCTGAAACGTCGATCAAGCTCACGAGCTTCACCGACTCGAATGACGACGCAAGCAATTTGAAGATCGTGAGTAGTTCGAATCGAGCCCAGAAAAGCTCGACACCTTTTGCGAGCTTGAAGGTGGAGCTCAACTCGTGAACTACTCGTCTTTTGACGAAATAAGCCTGAGTTCGTGACGAACAAGCACGAGCTACTCGGTTCGACTGCACCCCTACTCAAACCTGATTATTTCAAAGTTACATGAACAGATTCATAGCCCAGTTCCATTTCCTGCAAGCATACAGGATGGAGGTTATATGAGGTGGTCGAGCCTCAAAGTGGAAGAAAGAAATCATAAAAAAGAAAGAAAACAATGCAAGTATTTAAAATGGAATGTCACGTTGAAATGGAATTTTCCACCATCTAAAGCGTTAAGATTCAAGTATTGGCTGTGAGAAAGGTCACAACCGCACCACTTTCTGATCTTTTCAGCATGCTACGAAGCTTTCAATTGAATATAGTGATTGAGTTGTTTCCACTGATGATATAGAGTTTGTTTTTGTGTAACTAGCTATGTGTGGCATGCAACCAGATAAAATGGTGCAATTCAAATACTACCATGCCATCTCCCTGGCACCTCCAGTATCCTGCAAATATATAATTTCACAAAAAATGAAGGGAAATGCAACTATGATATAATTAATTCAGTATAGAATCCTTGAAAAGCTTGATACCTGCAAATATCTTCCAGGTTTGTTTTAGAAACTAACCAAATTTTCCAGCAATATATCAGCGGGAAGGGTTTTAATAATCATTCTGGAAATGGTTGTTGTGATGTCACCACTGCCAATGTTTAAAAAACAAATAAAGATGATCATTCCTCGCAGTTGACTTATGGCATAATATAGAGTAGAATCTAGGACACTCTCAAGGCGTTGACTATGCTGCCACTGAAAAAAAAAAAAAAGTTGATGATCATGATTCATAATCTCGGTTGTAGTTTGAGAAGACAATCTCCTGTTCAAAATGCTCAGAAACTATCAGACCAACTAGAGTTTACATAATCAAGGGGCTGAACGGTTTTATTTCCAAGATAGTGATGACCTAAAAAGACCTAGATTCAAGGATAAATAATATGCACAATTAAAGAGGAAGGAAATGGATTGTAGTATTTTCACTATTTATGAATATCGGGTAGAAAAAACATGATCATAAGCAACAGCTGAATTCAATTTGGCAGTTAAAAAATAGTTGAGAGATGCATATTACAGTGTAAAATAATACCTAATGCAGTAAAATCGGATGTCAATTCACCAGCCGATCTTTCCACCAATGAGATATATGAGAACCATTACTTTCTCATTAATTTATCATCAAATAGGCCGGATTTGATCATCTTAGCAACCAGTTCATGAAATGAATTGATATCACCAACTTGATGAAAGGCATTAAGCATCACTTCACATATCTCTTGATCGGGAGGAAAGCCATCAGACATCATCATGCAGAGAAAGTATTTTGCTTCAGTAATTAAACACCTTTTGCACAGTCTATTGATCACAGCACTATAATCTCTTATTGAAATTTCAAACCCCTTCTCCACCATTTGACGGAAGAATATCACCGCACTGTCCACATCACCCTTGACACAATGTGCTTTGATTATTGTTGTGTAAGCAACTTTTGTCAAATTGATATTACGTTCCTGAAGAGAAAAGAGTAGACTATCTGCATCTTTTAGCTCACTATATACACAAAGACCATTGATGAGAATATTATATGTAACAGGTGTAGGCTCAAGATTATGCAGCAACATCTCATTGAGTAACTGAAAAGCTTTTCTTATGTCTTTACATTTGCAGAAACTCTGGATGATGGTATTATATGTAATTTCATCAGGAGTTAAACCTTTAGCTAACATATCCTCAAGCAATTGAATGGCTTCTTGCAGCTTCCACTGTCTGCAAAGTCCTTTGATAACAACAGTGTAAGTGACATGAGTTGGTCCTATAGTTTTTGCTTCCATTTCTCTCAGCAATTCAAACAAGCTATGCATGTTTCCTTCTTCACAGTATGCATTCATAAGAGTGGTATAAGTTACTGCACTTGGTTCCAACCCATGCAATCTGATAGTATCCAAAAAATTTCTAGCTTCGTTTACCTTTCCCTTCTTGCAGAATCCATAAATAAGGGAATTAAAAGTTATTATACTAGGACTAATTCTTTTTTCAGCTAGTTGTTTGTACAACTGGACAGCCTCCCCAATGGTACCACTTTTAACATACGCATCAATCATTATATTGTACAAAATAATATCCCGTGTCAAGTCACTTTTGGTAAGACTATCAAAATACAGTCTTGCCTCCGATATCATTTCTTTCTTGCACAGGCCCCGAAGAATAGCACCTTGTGCAAAAGAATTAGGTGTGATTCTCTCGGAGCACATTTTGTTATATAGTTGGATAGCATTTTGGATTTTTTCTTGCTTGCAAAGACCATGAATGAGGATTGAATATGTAACGAGATCAGGCTTCAAGCCAGTAGCTCCCATTTCATAAAGAAGTCTCAATGCTTCCTCAACTCTTCCACATTTACATAGGCTGCTGAGTAGTACACTGTATGAGATGGCATTCAACTGAAAACCTTGTGAGAGCAACTCTTCTCGCAACTTTAATCCTTCCTCAATATTCCCTATCTGGCAATGCCCGCAAATCAGGACAGTATATGTAACAAGATCTGGATTCAATCCTTTAATCAACATTTTCTGAAGGACCTTCCAAGCTCCACTGATGCGAGCAAGCAAATGAAATCCTTTGGCAAGAATTCTGTAGGTTATTGTATCAGGCTCCACCCCATGCCTCTCCATGTCATTTGTGAACTCCAATGCTTCTTCCATGGAACCAGCTACACACAAACCATGAATAAGAATGTTATAACTATATGCATCAGGATGCAGGCCATACTTGATCATCATACCGAAAAAAGCCTTTGCAGCTTCAGCAAAACCCAGTTTACAGTACCCAGACATGATGGTATTCAAAGAGACAACAGAAGGCCCAAACTTCTTCCCTGCAGTCTCCTGAAAGAACAAAACTGCATCTTGTAGTCTGGACTGCTGGCATAAGCCATCTATAAGTATGGAATTAGTATATACATTCATAGGAGTCTCACTAACTTTGATGTCATGATATACATCCCACATAATATCAGTGTGCCTCAAATTGTACAAAAGACTGTTATAGGTTTGAACAGAAGCTCTCAAGTCCAAGTCTTTCATTTTCACAAGAACGAAAAGGGCATCATGAACCATCTCAGATCTTGAATAAACAAATGCCAACATATCCCATACCTCTCTGTTTGTCTCCCAGCCCCTAAAGCCATTCAAGAGAACCTCACAAAGGAAAGGAGCAGAACCAGAGCCTAGAAGAAATCACAGAAATCTATAAACAACAAAATGAGCAACATTTTCGAAAATTAAAAGATAAAAAATGAAACTTATTGTAACAATCAGACAAACAAATAAACATAAGCTAAATCGAAAAACAAGATCAATCAATCAAGCGATGCGACTATTAATAATATTTGTGGATAATTTAAGAAAAACTCAAATGACTTCTTGCTTGAGAGTTGAGACTCAATAGTACACAATAAATTATGCTCATCTGAGCCCAATAAAAGAATTGCCCAACAGAAAACCAAACAGAAAACCAAAAAACTGAAATACGCATTATTTACAAATAATAACAAAAAAAAAATTAATAAAAAAGAAAAAAAACGAATACCTTCCTTTTGCAGCATTTGCTCTAAGACCGACCTTAACTCCTTGAATCTCCTCTTTCCCGCCAAAACATGTGAAACAATAAAGCTCGAAACCCGTGGAAGCTTAAACCCGAACTCAATCCTCAACCAATCAAAAAACGCCACCACATGATCCGGATTCTGAACCCTCAAACGATAAAAAATCTGATCAACCTGAGACTCGCTCAGACTTAATACAATATTTCTCAAATAACCCAAATCAAGAAGTCTCTTAAACTCTGAATTGTTTATATTTACAACAATTTCGGAAACGGGGTCATTGCGGCTTGCATCAATTAAGGCAGTTGAGGTGCTGGGTTCGTCGCCAGCGAGACGTGCGGCGGAGACTGAGGGTTTAGAGAAGAGTAAGGAAGAGAGAGGGTAGATGATTTGTCGTTTGATAGATAAATGGAAAGGAGCCCATTTGGTGAGCATGAAAGTAGAGGGTTTTAGGATTTAAGGAAGGAACGTTTAATTGCTTTTCTATTAGTTTCTGGGGAAATTTTGAGGGGGATTAGGGTTTAAGAGAGAAATCAATTTGAGGATTGAAATAGAAATTAAGGGTTTAAGAGAGCCGTTAGTTTCCCGGCAATTTTGAATGTCCAGATTCTCCAGAAGAAAGGGGTTTAGGGCAAGTATTGATCGAGGGGGAAGAAACCGAATAAGAGCCGAAACGACGTGGTTTTGAACAGATATGTTAATAATTAAATTATATATTTTATCCTAAAAATTATCAATTATTAGGCAATAAACCTCTGATTAATTTTAAGGCCGAACGACGCATACCCAAGGTTTTCTGGAATGATAAGTGGGTATCCAAAAAGTTTTGAAATGATAAATAGGTACATTCCATCATGTTTTGTTAGTGATTTTCGTTTGATAATAGTGAAAAGACTAGAATACCTTTGAAAGTTTGATATTTTAATTTTTTATAAATTTAAAAATTAAAAAAAAACCCCCTAGGTTTGCTAATTTAACTAAATACACCAATATATAAAAATTTTAAAAAATAACAAAAACACCCCCACCACCGCAGTCCCAGATTCCGGCCACCATCATCGGAATCTGGCCGGAATATTGCGTTACGACACAGACCCGTCGGGTCTGTGTCGTAACGCATCAATCTAGCCTTTTCCGGCCTCGACAGCTAGATCTAACTGTAGATCTGGCAGGAAAATACGAGATCGACACGTTAAGACATGGATCCGACGGGTCTGTGTCGTAACGTAATTTTTTGGCCAGATCTAACCGTAGATCTGGTCTTTTCCGGCCAGATAAGCCACGCATCTTGTCAGAAAATGCCAGATCTACGCGTTACGACATAGATCCGATGGGTATGTGTCGTAACGCAATATTCCGGCCAGATTTTGGTGGTGGTGGCCGGAATCTGGCTACGGGTGGCGGGGTGTTTTTGTTATTTTACAAAATTTTTAGATATTGGGGTATTTAGTAAAATTAGCAAACCTATGGGGTTTTTTAGAAATTTTTAAATTTATAAAAAACTAAAATATCAAACTTTCAAAGATATTCTAGTCTTTTTACTATTATCAAATGAAAATCACTAACAAAACATGATAAAAGGTATCTATTTATCATTTTAAAACTACCAACTGTCGTTTCAAAAAACCTTGGTATGCGTTTCGTTCAGCCTTAATTTTAATTACCGATTGTGTCTTTTCTGTAGCAAGCCATGTGATTTCTCATTTCTAAGACTGCACGGGTTTTGGGTCCTCCTCATTTCTATATTGAATCAACAACTCCATATTGTAATTTTAATTTTTTAATTTGATAATTATTATTATTTTTATTTTTTAAAAAAAAGGGGTTTTGGGTCCTCCTCATTTCTATATTGAATCAACAATTTCATATTGTAATTTAAAATTTAAAATTTAAAATTTGATAATTATTTTTTTTAAATAATAACTTAAATATATTCAATTACCTCTTTACTCTTATGTAAAGTTAAATCTAACTCTAAGTAATTGATCATTACCCCTTAATCTAACAATTATAACATTTGTCCTCCTATTGATAAAATCTGAAAAGTTTATACATTACTTAATAATGTCCCTGTTTTAAAACTATTTTTCAATTGGCCCGCAAATCAGGACGTATATGTAACAAGATCTGGATTCAATCCTTTAATCAACATTTTCTGAGGACTTCCAAGCTCCACTGATGCGAGCAAGCAAATGAAATCCTTTGGCAAGAATTCTGTATTTATTGTATCAGGCTCCACCCCATGCCTCTCCATGTCATTTGTGAACTCCAATGCTTCTTCCATGGACCAGCTACACACACACATGAATAAGATGTTATAACTATATGCACAGGATGCAGGCCATACTTGATCATCATACCGAAAAAAGCCTTTGCAGCTTCAGCAAAACCCAGTTTACAGTACCCAGACATGATGGTATTCAAAGAGACACAGAAGGCCCAAACTTCTCCCTGCAGTCTCCTGAAAGAACAAAACTGCATCTTGTAGTCTGGACTGCTGGCATAAGCCATCTATAAGTATGAATTAGATATACTTCATAGGAGTCTCACTAACTTTGATGCATGATATACATCCCACATAATATCAGTGTGCCTCAAATTGTACAAAGACTGTTTAGGTTGAACAGAAGCTCTCAAGTCCAAGTCTTTCATTTTCACAAGAACGAAAGGGCATCATGAACCATCTCAGATCTTGAAAAACAAATGCCAACATATCCCATACCTCTCTGTTTGTCTCCCACCCCTAAAGCCTTCAGGAGAACCTCCTTCGACTGCACCCCTACTCAAACCTGATTATTTCAAAGTTACATGAACAGATTCATAGCCCAGTTCCATTTCCTGCAAGCATACAGGATGGAGGTTATATGAGGTGGTCGAGCCTCAAAGTGGAAGAAAGAAATCATAAAAAAGAAAGAAAACAATGCAAGTATTTAAAATGGAATGTCACGTTGAAATGGAATTTTCCACCATCTAAAGCGTTAAGATTCAAGTATTGGCTGTGAGAAAGGTCACAACCGCACCACTTTCTGATCTTTTCAGCATGCTACGAAGCTTTCAATTGAATATAGTGATTGAGTTGTTTCCACTGATGATATAGAGTTTGTTTTTGTGTAACTAGCTATGTGTGGCATGCAACCAGATAAAATGGTGCAATTCAAATACTACCATGCCATCTCCCTGGCACCTCCAGTATCCTGCAAATATATAATTTCACAAAAAATGAAGGGAAATGCAACTATGATATAATTAATTCAGTATAGAATCCTTGAAAAGCTTGATACCTGCAAATATCTTCCAGGTTTGTTTTAGAAACTAACCAAATTTTCCAGCAATATATCAGCGGGAAGGGTTTTAATAATCATTCTGGAAATGGTTGTTGTGATGTCACCACTGCCAATGTTTAAAAAACAAATAAAGATGATCATTCCTCGCAGTTGACTTATGGCATAATATAGAGTAGAATCTAGGACACTCTCAAGGCGTTGACTATGCTGCCACTGAAAAAAAAAAAAAAGTTGATGATCATGATTCATAATCTCGGTTGTAGTTTGAGAAGACAATCTCCTGTTCAAAATGCTCAGAAACTATCAGACCAACTAGAGTTTACATAATCAAGGGGCTGAACGGTTTTATTTCCAAGATAGTGATGACCTAAAAAGACCTAGATTCAAGGATAAATAATATGCACAATTAAAGAGGAAGGAAATGGATTGTAGTATTTTCACTATTTATGAATATCGGGTAGAAAAAACATGATCATAAGCAACAGCTGAATTCAATTTGGCAGTTAAAAAATAGTTGAGAGATGCATATTACAGTGTAAAATAATACCTAATGCAGTAAAATCGGATGTCAATTCACCAGCCGATCTTTCCACCAATGAGATATATGAGAACCATTACTTTCTCATTAATTTATCATCAAATAGGCCGGATTTGATCATCTTAGCAACCAGTTCATGAAATGAATTGATATCACCAACTTGATGAAAGGCATTAAGCATCACTTCACATATCTCTTGATCGGGAGGAAAGCCATCAGACATCATCATGCAGAGAAAGTATTTTGCTTCAGTAATTAAACACCTTTTGCACAGTCTATTGATCACAGCACTATAATCTCTTATTGAAATTTCAAACCCCTTCTCCACCATTTGACGGAAGAATATCACCGCACTGTCCACATCACCCTTGACACAATGTGCTTTGATTATTGTTGTGTAAGCAACTTTTGTCAAATTGATATTACGTTCCTGAAGAGAAAAGAGTAGACTATCTGCATCTTTTAGCTCACTATATACACAAAGACCATTGATGAGAATATTATATGTAACAGGTGTAGGCTCAAGATTATGCAGCAACATCTCATTGAGTAACTGAAAAGCTTTTCTTATGTCTTTACATTTGCAGAAACTCTGGATGATGGTATTATATGTAATTTCATCAGGAGTTAAACCTTTAGCTAACATATCCTCAAGCAATTGAATGGCTTCTTGCAGCTTCCACTGTCTGCAAAGTCCTTTGATAACAACAGTGTAAGTGACATGAGTTGGTCCTATAGTTTTTGCTTCCATTTCTCTCAGCAATTCAAACAAGCTATGCATGTTTCCTTCTTCACAGTATGCATTCATAAGAGTGGTATAAGTTACTGCACTTGGTTCCAACCCATGCAATCTGATAGTATCCAAAAAATTTCTAGCTTCGTTTACCTTTCCCTTCTTGCAGAATCCATAAATAAGGGAATTAAAAGTTATTATACTAGGACTAATTCTTTTTTCAGCTAGTTGTTTGTACAACTGGACAGCCTCCCCAATGGTACCACTTTTAACATACGCATCAATCATTATATTGTACAAAATAATATCCCGTGTCAAGTCACTTTTGGTAAGACTATCAAAATACAGTCTTGCCTCCGATATCATTTCTTTCTTGCACAGGCCCCGAAGAATAGCACCTTGTGCAAAAGAATTAGGTGTGATTCTCTCGGAGCACATTTTGTTATATAGTTGGATAGCATTTTGGATTTTTTCTTGCTTGCAAAGACCATGAATGAGGATTGAATATGTAACGAGATCAGGCTTCAAGCCAGTAGCTCCCATTTCATAAAGAAGTCTCAATGCTTCCTCAACTCTTCCACATTTACATAGGCTGCTGAGTAGTACACTGTATGAGATGGCATTCAACTGAAAACCTTGTGAGAGCAACTCTTCTCGCAACTTTAATCCTTCCTCAATATTCCCTATCTGGCAATGCCCGCAAATCAGGACAGTATATGTAACAAGATCTGGATTCAATCCTTTAATCAACATTTTCTGAAGGACCTTCCAAGCTCCACTGATGCGAGCAAGCAAATGAAATCCTTTGGCAAGAATTCTGTAGGTTATTGTATCAGGCTCCACCCCATGCCTCTCCATGTCATTTGTGAACTCCAATGCTTCTTCCATGGAACCAGCTACACACAAACCATGAATAAGAATGTTATAACTATATGCATCAGGATGCAGGCCATACTTGATCATCATACCGAAAAAAGCCTTTGCAGCTTCAGCAAAACCCAGTTTACAGTACCCAGACATGATGGTATTCAAAGAGACAACAGAAGGCCCAAACTTCTTCCCTGCAGTCTCCTGAAAGAACAAAACTGCATCTTGTAGTCTGGACTGCTGGCATAAGCCATCTATAAGTATGGAATTAGTATATACATTCATAGGAGTCTCACTAACTTTGATGTCATGATATACATCCCACATAATATCAGTGTGCCTCAAATTGTACAAAAGACTGTTATAGGTTTGAACAGAAGCTCTCAAGTCCAAGTCTTTCATTTTCACAAGAACGAAAAGGGCATCATGAACCATCTCAGATCTTGAATAAACAAATGCCAACATATCCCATACCTCTCTGTTTGTCTCCCAGCCCCTAAAGCCATTCAAGAGAACCTCACAAAGGAAAGGAGCAGAACCAGAGCCTAGAAGAAATCACAGAAATCTATAAACAACAAAATGAGCAACATTTTCGAAAATTAAAAGATAAAAAATGAAACTTATTGTAACAATCAGACAAACAAATAAACATAAGCTAAATCGAAAAACAAGATCAATCAATCAAGCGATGCGACTATTAATAATATTTGTGGATAATTTAAGAAAAACTCAAATGACTTCTTGCTTGAGAGTTGAGACTCAATAGTACACAATAAATTATGCTCATCTGAGCCCAATAAAAGAATTGCCCAACAGAAAACCAAACAGAAAACCAAAAAACTGAAATACGCATTATTTACAAATAATAACAAAAAAAAAATTAATAAAAAAGAAAAAAAACGAATACCTTCCTTTTGCAGCATTTGCTCTAAGACCGACCTTAACTCCTTGAATCTCCTCTTTCCCGCCAAAACATGTGAAACAATAAAGCTCGAAACCCGTGGAAGCTTAAACCCGAACTCAATCCTCAACCAATCAAAAAACGCCACCACATGATCCGGATTCTGAACCCTCAAACGATAAAAAATCTGATCAACCTGAGACTCGCTCAGACTTAATACAATATTTCTCAAATAACCCAAATCAAGAAGTCTCTTAAACTCTGAATTGTTTATATTTACAACAATTTCGGAAACGGGGTCATTGCGGCTTGCATCAATTAAGGCAGTTGAGGTGCTGGGTTCGTCGCCAGCGAGACGTGCGGCGGAGACTGAGGGTTTAGAGAAGAGTAAGGAAGAGAGAGGGTAGATAATTTGTCGTTTGATAGATAAATGGAAAGGAGCCCATTTGGTGAGCATGAAAGTAGAGGGTTTTAGGATTTAAGGAAGGAACGTTTAATTGCTTTTCTATTAGTTTCTGGGGAAATTTTGAGGGGGATTAGGGTTTAAGAGAGAAATCAATTTGAGGATTGAAATAGAAATTAAGGGTTTAGAAGAGCCGTTAGTTTCCCGGCAATTTTGAATGTCCAGATTCTCCAAAAGAAAGGGTTTTAGGGCAAGTATTGATCGAGGGGGAAGAAACCGAATAAGAGCCGAGACGACGTGGTTTTGAACAGATACGTTAATAATTAAATTATATATTTTATCCTAAAAATTATCAATTATTGGGCAATAAACCTCTGATTAATTTTAATTACCAATTGTGTCTTTTCTGTAGCAAGCCATGTGATTTCTCATTTCTAAGACTGCATGGGTTTTGGGTCCTCCTCATTTCTATATTGAATCAACAATTTCATATTGTAATTTTAATTTTTTAATTTGATAATTATTTATTTTTTAAAAAAAGGGGGTTTTGGGTCCTCCTCATATCTATATTGAATCAACAATTTCATATTGTAATTTAAAATTTAAAATTTAAAATTTGATAATTATTTTTTTTAAATAATAATTTAAATATATTCAATTACCTCTTTACTCTCATGTAAAGTTAAATCTAACTATAAGTAATTGATCATTACCCCTTAATCTAACAATTATAACATTTGTCCTCCTATTGATAAAATCTGAAAAGTTTATACACGACTTAATAATGTCCTTGTTTTAAAACTAATTTTCAATTTATTAATTTCAAACATTATAAAACAAACCAACAGAATAATGAAATATAAATCAACAAACCACCACTAGGTAGCATGATAATAAAAAAACAAAAGAATGTTTCATGATCTTGAGTTCGAGTCTCCCAAAAACTAATAAGGGTTGAGGTACGCAAAAATTGGTCCGAACACTCTCTGTGATTAAAAAATTATATATATATAAATCAACAATTATAACTCTCCTCCTAGTCTTTAATCTCCTTAGAATTTTTCACTTCTTATGTTCTAAGTAATTTTATAATTCTGTCCTCAATAAACCCTATAGTGAGAATAATGTAGATGAAAAACAAGAATTAATTAGTCTGAATTGAAAATGAGTTTAGAATCCCAACATCAGCATCATGAGTGGTAATAGTTGAATGGGGTATTATGATAAATGATAACGTACCTATAAATTCTCAAAATCAAATAAATTTAAGGGGGCGCAGGTACATCACTTGCCTACTTGAAGCTTGACAAGAGTCCATGACTTCGCTCTCAAACAAACTCCCATCAGTTCATCTTCTCTTCCAATTCCCATATGAACATGACAGTATAAGGAAGACTTAGATTATTTATAGATGAAATTTCTTTGTCTATGCAGGCAAAAAGTATGGCTCAATACTTCATGGAATAGGAGTACAAGTTAAGAATTATTCCATTGGACCCTTTGAGATCAACACCACAACTAAATTTCTACACTTTCTTCTCATTTCCTGACTGCACACACTGCTATTGCCACTGCNCTTTGTCTATGCAGGCAAAAAGTATGGCTCAATACTTCATGGAATAGGAGTACAAGTTAAGAATTATTCCATTGGATTGGACCCTTTGAGATCAACACCACAACTAAATTTCTACACTTTCTTCTCATTTCCTGACTGCACACACTGCTATTGCCACTGCCACTGCAACTAAAAACTGCACTTTCATCAGTTTTATATATATATACTTTTTTTATCACAATAATACTGTTCATGTAAAAGGACTTGCGGAGAACAGTAGATTGATGATGATTTACCCATACGTATAATTCAACAAAACATTAACTTAATGATCACTTTCTGCATACATCAAGCAAAACAACAAGGAATACTTCTGTTCTGCAAACGAACCACTGATCCAGAGCCATTTATGAAAATTTTCACCGAGTTTTCAGTGGGCAAATTTTAAATATATACCAACGAAAAGCTCTATCATATGACATATACGAAAGTGGACTTGATGATTTTTACGATACAAAAAGTAGGTGATCAGTAAAGTTTTATCTATTTATTCCCATGGGTCAAATTTAGACTTTGGAAATGGTAGGTCCAAATTCAATAAGAATCTTTTTAAGCTAAAAAATTATATTCAAACACAAACTACTACATCCTATAAATATAAAAAGGGTTTTGCTTAAAACCCAAGGAGTAAATAGCAATCCATAATGAAATTCACATTTCACCAACTTATTTGATCTGCCTTTAAAACCTCAAACTTTTTATTGATCTCAACCCACTTTTACATCTACCCAATTTAAGACTATCCACATTTAATTTATTCTTATCTTCTCCTCCTCCAGAATGTCTAAAACAACTGTAAGAAGACACATTCTGGAGAAGAACAGAAGTCCTAAGGAAAAGGAGAAACCTGCTCAAAGTTTATTGTCTAAACACCTGAAAAAAATCTACCCCATTGGACTGCAGAGAAGCAGTTCGTCATTATCTTCTTTGTCGTCTTTATCATTGTCTTTGTCACAGAACTCCAACGACTCCTCTGTCACAGACTCTAGTTCACCACTGGAGCAGAAAATTTCATTGGCACTGCGCTTGATTTCACAGCCTGGAAGAAGAGAAGCCGCCGTGGCGAAAAATGTTCAGCAACAACAACAACTAACTCAGGATGCTACTGATGGGGAATTGAGGAGGTGTAACTGGATTACTAAGAACAGTGGTAAGCCAAATTTAATCTTAATAAAAGTATGATTAATCATGCCGAATTTCAGAATCTATTTTTGGTTGATGTTTTCGAAAAGAAATATTTTAGAGGACGTCATACTTAATAAAAAAATTAATGATTAATAATGACACTTATAATTTCAAGTTTTAATTACATTTAGTGGTTGAGAGTTCAGTAACATGAATTGAAAATGCCGAAGCTCAAGTCCTACTCTGTCTCAATCATGGCTTATTATGGTAGTTGATAATGATAAAAATATTACCAAGTGTTGATAAAAAAATTTATAATAAAGCCTTCCTGTTACAACTATACTGCATGTTAAAACTGTGTTTATAGTCTGAATCCGGATATTCTTGAAACTGTCATTAATTAACCAGATTAAACATCAACATCTTCACCTACTTTACGCATTTCAGATGTACATTTCTTCTTAACTGAGGACATTAATATATACTAATTACAAAGATATATATTTTTTATTTTAATAAAAAACTGTATGAGATTGACATAATGTTTGATACAGATAAAGTTTATGTTGCATTTCATGATGAATCCTGGGGAGTTCCAGTTTATGATGACAAGTAAGTCAGTTGTAATATTTAATCCAGTGAATATATAAATTATGAAAAATCAGTGCCAATTTTTAAATGGTAAATTTTTATCAAACAGTCAACTGTTCGAGCTACTTGCATTGTGTGGTATGTTGATGGATTACAACTGGACTGAAATTTTGAAAAGAAAAGAATTATTCAGGTACTACTTCTTTTGCACTACTCAAACGTAACTAAAATTTACATATTTAAAGATACCTTCATCATTAATCAAAACATTTGTCGATAACATAGAGAAGCTTTCGCGGGATTCGATCCTAAGGTTGTTGCCAAAATGGGGGAGAAAGAGATCTTAGAGATATCATCAGACAAAGCAATAATGTTGGAAGAGAGCAGTGAGGTGCATACTAGACAATGCCAAATGCTAATGAAGTAAGTTATAATTCTTTTTCTGCAATCTCTTTGAATTTGCAGTGCTCATAAGTTGCTCACTTGACCTCATTGTCCAAGTGCAGATTGTGCACGAATTCGGGTCCTTCAGTACTTTATGTGGGGTTATGTAATTAAAACCAGTGATCACAAATACAGATACCCAAGAAATTTTCCCTTAAGGAGTCCAAAGCGAGAGTCATCAGCAAGGATTTACGTGACGCGGGGTTCCGATTTGTTGGACCGGTGATAGTTTACTCATTCATGCAGGCGCAGGGCTGCAATTGACCATCTAGTTGATTTTTTTAGTACAGTGGTGTGTAGGCCTTGCAGAAAGACCTTGGAGGCATATCTGATAACATCAGCATTTGTGTCAGAGTGCTAACCCTTTGGAAAAGTCTCACAAATTTCTACATTCTTGTAAATGCATTTTCTATATGTATGCATGAAATGCATTTTTTTTTTTTTTCCATCTTTTTGTGGGCAAAATAGTGACTTCACTTGCCCATCGTTGTACTTTATAATTTATGCAAATATTCATTTGGCGACTCTTTTGTCATCAATGAGATAAACTAAATGCCTCTCACTTCATGGGTTTATAATTTGCAATTATTGTGGAATCTTTTCTTTCTTTTTATGTGGTTTAAGTAAAAGAGCAAAAGGATTTCATGAGCCGAGTTCAGTCCCCTCGATTAATAGGGGTGGTTTTAGGGTTTTATCCGTGACAACCGGAGATTAGTTGACTGGAAACCTGCGGTGATTAAAAAAAAAAAAAAAAAGCATTAGTAAAATTAGAATGTTGACAATGACAATCTAATAACAAGATATATTCCATATACAATAATAGTATCAGTATAATAGTTTTATCCCTCTTGATATCTTTATCAAACTTCAATTAAGAAATATTCAAATCAGCAGCCTAAATCTTATATTATCGTGATTTTTAGGATAAGGTAGACGAAGCTTTGTTTATGAAAACAGGAAAGGGATTATTCTCGATACCTTTTATTAGCAAAGTGAGATTATAGATGCAGTCAAGTGGCCTATATTAAGAGTTAACGATTTTTTCCCCCCAAATAATGGTTTAAGACACTTTTCCACCTACAGACTTTTAAAATATATTTACTACACAAATTTATATTCACGCGAACAGAGAGCAAACTCGTCCAACTTTGGGTTTTTGAAGAAGGGAGACTGATGATTCTTTTGGTGATAAAATTGATTTTGGTGGTTGGGATTGATG